ATGTGGCCAGGCATCAGTTGACAAACACTTAGGGCGGCCACCCTATTTTTAGCTCAGATACTTATAGAATGACACATGGCGACTAGGCCACAACTGAGAATCACACACGCTGATTCTTCCCAAATAAGGTGGCATTTTAGCCCCCCAATGAGGGTGGACCCAACAGGTGGACAGCATAACGAGGCGTGGGTACCAGGGATGGGCTTTTAGCTGGTCAGATTCCAACAGAGATGAGCAAGTCCAAACTGTGCCCTGGGCTCATTCTTGGCTCTCCTGTGGCAGTCCTATCCTCTCCTGCTCCAGGAGAAGCTAAGCCACTTGGTAGGGACATTTACTCTTACCCTCCTTCAGTGCTGGCAATGAGATGTGAGACTTCATTCTTGCTAAGTAAGTGCTCTACCATTCAGTTACCTACACCCCTAGCTCAAGAACCATTTGCTCTTGCAGTACTGGAAGGCACCTGCAGAGCAGACCCCAGGCTCAAGGGATGCAGAGAGACACTGCTGTGTTCATACCCTCATCAAATTTACCTTAGAGCTGCTTTGATAAGGGCAGAGCATCCGGCCCAACTGGGGTAGGAGAGACCACTGAGTGTCTTGATGAAAGTTCCCCTGAAAGAGAGCTCGCATGTGCAGGGTGCCACCTAACCACTCGTGATAGCTGTGTGGACCACTTCTCTGGAATGTTTCAGGGTCTCAGTAAGTCTTTCTAGAAGGTAGCAACAGAGGCTATACTAGGTTCAACCTCTATACTCAGCTCATCAGGAACAGTGCTGGGGTATGGTGTGTGTGTGTGTGTGTGTGTGTGTGTGTGTGTGTGTGTGTGTCTAGGCTCATGGGGCTAGTGGTCACAGGTGACCTTTGTCTTAGGGACAGCAGTACATCCACATCCAGCCTCTCTGGACCGCTTGAGGGTCTTTGAGCCTGTGTTCCAGTACTGTGTGCCCTGCCTCAGCATAGCAAGGACTCCTGCTAAGCAGAAGCTTCTGCTGACCTTGCTGAGGCTTCCTCCTGGGGTCTCACACATCCCAGTGCAGAGCAAGGCATCCTGCGTGGAGTACTCTGGCTATGCTGGAAGACAAGCCCTGCTAGGTCCATCCATCCTCCAGCTACTTTGCGGAACTGGGGGCTTGCTGAGGGTCTATAGCCCAAGAGGGACTCCCCCAGCTCGTGACCCTAGCAGGAGGCAGGTCACCTGGTGGATGGATCGTCACCCGGGGGCTCATTAGAGAGTTAGACCTCCCTGCGAGACAGTGAGAGCAAAGGAGTTAGGGCAGAGCGGAGCCGTTTTTTCTCCCTGAGGAGGGGAAAGGCTGCCGCCGAGTGGCCAGAGGGCTAGCTAGCAGGAATTACTGCTCCAGTGCACAGCTGGATCCACTAAGTTTGTTTCTTCACACTCATCCACTCAACAGTAATGCAGACCTAAGGGAGGAAGTCCCCCAAACTGGAAGCTCCAGAGACGGATGGAAAGCCTCAAAGCTTAGAGGGATCTGAGCACAGTAGACATAGGGCATTGTCTCAGGACCTGCAAAGGGCTGAGCTGACTAGAGGCATGGGTTCCCACCTTGGGACCCAGTAGAAGGACCTCAGTGTAAGGACAACGTGAATCTAGACAGTATCGCTGACTAGGATGGGAGCTGAGGAGAGCATAATCAGGCTGCTGTTGGGTGGGGATGCCGGGCCAGGGCTTGCAGCTCTGACACTGGGACTTGCCCTCCTTTCTTCGCTCTTCCCCAGTGGCCTGAGCCTCCTGGCACAGCCTCTGGGTCCTGTGGTTGTGTCTCTTGGCTCTGCATCTGGCTTTCTCATCTGTGTTTCTAATCTTTATTTCCTTGTCAGTTTCATCTGGGGCTGGTGTAAAGTGTGTATGGCAAATGCTGCCATACACATGGTCGCCAAGGGAAAGATCCAAAGAAGGGAACCTGGAAGTCCATGATTGGGCAGCAAAGGTAGGCTGACCCCTAGAGGCCGGACCTCCCTAGAGGATGCGATCCCTGGCTCCTGCCTTTTGTTCAGTACAGACAGAAAGAGGCCCCTCTGTCAGCAGATGGCATGATTCAGTGTGAGCACAGAGGCTCTGAGGCTACAGCTTCTGCCTGAAATCCTGCTCTCGTCCATAGTCCTTCAGTGCAGTTCTAGATCTTTCCCAAGTATATGAGTGGTTCAATCTAGCAGACTTAAGGCTTAATATGTGGAAATGTTAATGCAGTAGATCTTATTGGGGGCTTCATCCATTAGAGAAAATCAAGGTGTGTGTGTGTGTGTGTGTGTGTGTGTGTGTAAGATTGACTTCTGTATGAAAGAGACATCTGTGTCTCTCCAAAAGGAGCTATGGCTTCATTCACCCATCAAATGAGTGAGCTAAAACTTTAAAACTTGGGGCTAGGGAGATGCTCAGTGGACAAGATCACTCACTACTCTTCCAGAGGACCCAAGTTCAGTTCTCAGCACACAAGCCAGGCATTGCATAACTGCCTGTACCCCCAGCTCCAGGGAATCTGACACTGGACTCCTTAGCTGTGTGCACTTACACATGCATGCTCCCCCAAGACACATACCTATACACACAATTAAAATTGAAAATAAACCCTAGACTGTTATGATGCTCTCCTCCCCACTGAACAGAGAACACAGTTGTCCTTCATATAGTTCTGACTTAACACCCTGTGCTGAGTGTCACTGAGGGTGGTAGTGGTCATGGGTGAATGGAAAAGGTCTTTGCTGATTGGGCAAACAGTCTCCATCCCTTTCTCCCCCAGGAAGTTGGGGGCTCAGGAGGTAGCCTCCTGGGATCTCAGCTGGGAAGGGCCCAACCACTTATTCTCCCCCCTGGGAGACCCACTGAGGCACACGATCAAAGGCTGAGGCCCATTGACCTGATCGGTATGGAATTATGTCCCCACTCTTGTTAGTTTTATTCTCTGGAGTTTCAGGCATCTGCAGTCTGTCATTATCTCAAAAGCTTAATAGGAAAATTCCTGAAAGACACACTTCTAAATAACATTCTAAAGAAACATCATCATAATCATGCTATTTTACTCTTGGCTATTGTAAATATTTTTGTCTAGGTATATATGCAGGAGGGAAGGTGTGTGTAGGGTTTGTGATTCCGTGGTTTTAGGTGTCCATTGGGGATTCTTGAACTGTATTTCTCACAGATATGGTACACAGCTTCTGGGCTTGGTCTTTGGGCACATTTTTTAAGCCCTTGGTGTCTCTGGTCCTTCATTCAGCAAATGGTGACGATCACAGGACCTATGCAGAGTGATTGTGATATTTGTATTAAATGCATGACCGACTGGACTGCATACAACGTCTGTCTCAGAATAAGTGACTGGGTATTGACCATTTTCTCCAAGGCCCACAGTATTATGCAACCTGTCTGTGGGACCACCAGGTTACTAGTGAATGGGGTCTCCAAATCCTGGCCAGAATTGCCAGAATAACAAGGCATCCCTGCATGATGGCCTTGCTCTACCACCTTTATCATTAATTCAGTCATTCATCAGATATTTGTTGATACTTCCTATATATTCCTATAAGTCAGATGCTGTGTCAAATACTGGACACTCTGGTGAAGACAGTGGGAGATCTCCAAGACACATTCTGTGGGCTGATAACTAGTTTGAGATGCTGCTAGCATGGTACCCAAAGCACAGCAGCAAGCTAGCATGGTACCCAAAGCACAGCAGCAATATGTGAATGTTGAGTTTATATTGACTTGGTCAGTTAGATTGAGGAAGCACAGGGCAGTTGAGGTTCCGGAAGAGACGGCTTACCTAGGTGTGGGGATGTAGGGAAGAAATAACATAAAGCCAACACCAGATAGGAGCAGAGAAAGGAGGAGGAGGGACCAGACAGAGGGAGAGGCCCGATGACAGAAGATGCCTGGGTAGACTACAAGGCATGGTGAGAGTGACCAAGATGTAGGCTGGGATCGGCACAGAGATGTTAGAAAATGCTCAGGAACAGTGTGATAGTGTGCTGAGCCCAATGGACCTTGTTCCTCATTTGGGTGTTGGGGGAAGCTTGAGTACCCCAGCAAGGCCCTGAGACTCTGTGGTAGTCAGAACCCCACTGAGTCCTTGAGGGTGGTAGTCAAGGGGAAGCAGGTGAAGGGGAGTCAAGTTTGGCTAACAACCTCCCAGCTGGAGCTCTGATCTCTGTCCTCGCCAGTGTTGGGGCTTCTTTTTGTTATTTTTAGTGGTGTGTGTGTGTGTGTGTGTGTGTGTGTGTGTGTGTGTGTGTGTGAGAGAGAGAGAGAGAGAGAGAGAGAGAGAGAGAGAGAGAGAGAATGCTGGGGATGTGCACACATGCATCTGTGCATATTTATGTGAAGGCCACAGAAGGACACCGGATGCACTGCTCTATCACTCTTGGCCTTTTCCTTGAGACAGAGTGTCTTAGCTAGGGTTTCTATTGCTTTGAAGAGATACCACGACCACGGAAACTCTTATAGGAAAACATTTAATTGGGGCTGGCTTATGGTTTCAGAGGTTCAGTCCATTATCATCATGGTGGGAGCACAGTAGCACGCACTCAGACATGGCGCTGAAGAAGGAGCTACAAGTTCTACATCTTGATCCTGAGGCAACAGGAAGTGAACTGTGACACTGGGCATAGCTTGAGCATAGGAGACCTCAAAGTCCACCCCCACAGTGATACAATTCCTCCAACAAGGCTACACCTACTCCAACAAGGCCACACCTAGTAGTACCACTCCTTTTGGGGACCATTTTCTTTCAAACAACCACATAGGGCTTCTTACTAAACCTAGAGCCATGCTGGTAGCCAGTAAGCCCCATAGCCATCCTGTCTCTGTCCCACTACAAAACTGTGGTTACAGGCACATGTGTGACCATGCCTCACCTCTCTTTTAAAATATAGGTGCTGGGGATTGAACTTGTGTTCTCATGCTTGCGTAGCAATTTCTCTTACACTAAATAATCCCTCAGGCCTGACTGTGAGTTTCTAAAGAGGCTTGGATTTCTTTCTTCACAGGTGTTGGAGGAGCTCAAGTGCTGGCAACGGACAAGTCTGCTGGGACAGAGGTTGGTAGGTGGCCTTTCCCTGCCTGGTCTATACACAGAGTCAGGGTGAGACTCTACAAAGAATGCAGGTAGATGCTAGGGTTCATTCTTGCTAACTAGCACACATCTTGCCCACAGGTCCACTTAGTGGCCAAAATAGCATTGTCCTGGGGACACAAGCCATCAGGCCACCTCTGTGTACTGTTTGTCTCTGATCAGCAGCCCTAGCTCCCCCAGTGCCTTATCCTGTATTTATGAACCCTCAACAGCAGACTCTGCCATTCTCCCTGGTCCCCACCCATTCATCAGGCCTCTTCTCACAGTTCCTGCCGCTCCCCACATTGAGGCTTGCCTTTCCTAGCAAGGAGCATTCCACACCCCACCTCCTTTAAGAAGGCCCTCAGCCCCAGGGCTCCTACACCAGTCCAGACCACCTGTCCTGTGATCTTAACTGTGAGCCCTTTGCCTGACTTTCTCAGCAGACTCAAGGCTCTGCCATGACAGTGCAGGTCCTTCCCATTAGCTTTCAAGTTCACCACATAGCAACAATGTTCATATTCTTGATAGGCGAGTCAATGAATGAATAAGGGATAAGTGAAGTAGGGTGGCAGGCAGCCAGAGTAGTCAGCTGCCTACCACCAGAGCTCAGGTGGCCAGGTTCTGCTGCACTTGAATGACCCTTGAAGATGGGAACATCTTTGAGAACTTGAGGCCAGGGATGAAGCTTTGGGGATAGAGGAGGGATTGTGAATGGAGTGTGGCAAACAAGGCTAGCATGGTAGGTTGACAGTGGGTAAAGGTCCAGAGACATGAGCCTGGACTTCGTGTAGAGCCATGGAAGGCCCCTGGAGACTGGCAGCTGAATCTTGAGTTCAATTCTTCCCTGTGTTTCAGATATCAAGTACGCCGTCATTGGCATGGCCTTGGGAGTAGCCATATCTGCAGGTTTCCTTGCCCTGAAGATCTGCATAATCCGGAGACATTTGTCTGATAATGACTCTGCAGACCTGAAGAACACGCCGCAGGGTAAGGGACCCGTGACAAACAGACCCTTCCCTGCTCTGCAGAAGAAGGGACTATCTGTTGGTCCTTGGTGCTACTGTGACAAAATACCTGAGACAATCAACTTCAAGAGAGGAAAGGGTTTGGGACTTATAGTTTGGGGATTTTGGTTCATGCTCTATTGGTCTTCTTGGTTTGGGGCTTGTGGTGAGTGTGCAGAAAAGGAAGCTGGTTCCTCTCAGAGAGAAGAAACTGGGACTGTGCAATTCCTCTCAAGGACATGCCCCCAAGGTCCAAGATCTTCCAGTAGGTCCCACCTTTTAAAGGTTGTCCCACTTCCCAATAGCATCACGGGCTGGAGACTAAGCCTTGGAGAACATTCTAGACCCGAGCTATTGCAAATGGTGTCCTATGAAGCCACCTAATGTGAAGCACTGGCGGTGGTAAGGGTGGGAGACTGTGCAAAAGAGAGAAAAAGCACAAGCCCACAGCCCAGGAGCTCCCCCAGAGAACAAATGGGCGTCTCTGCATCTATCTTCCTGCTGTATGTCCCTGCCTAGCTCTCCATCACTGTGAACTTCCGTATTCAGTCGCTTTCAGTAGTCTGAGAATTAAGCTTTCTGGAGGAAGGTGGAAAGATGTTTTTGGTTGCATTTATTTTTTTAATTCCTTGCACTTTGGGGGGGGGCATCACCCAGCTTCCAAATAAATACGCACAGAGACTTATTATTACTTATAAATGCCTGGCCTTAGCCTGGCTTGTTTCTTGCCAGTTTTTCTTAAATTATCCCGACTACCTTTTGCCTCTGGGCTTTTTATCTTACTCTTTTCTATATACTTTGCTTTACTTCCTACTCCATGGCTTGTTGTATAGCTGGGTGTCTAGACCCTAATGTCCTCCTCCTTCTCTTGCTCCTTCTCTCTTTTGATCTCACCTCCCAGATTTCTCCCCCTACTTTTTCTCTCTGCCTGCCAGCCCTGCCTGTCCTTTCTCCTGCCTCGCTATTGACCGTTCAGCTCTTCATTAGACCAGCCAAGTGTTTTAGACCTGCAAAGTGGTACAGCTTCACGGAGTTAAACACATGCAATGCATTTTTTCATTATTAAACAAATGTTCCAGAGCATAAACAAATGTAACACATCTTAAAATAATATTCCACAACAGAAGGGACTGAAGTTAGTTTCAAAATGGTACTTCTGTCTTCTTATCCCATGCGTATGATCAGATAAAACTGATCCCAGGAGGCCCTGAGGTGGTTCTGAGCTCAGCTTGTTGATGGGCAGGTCAAACCCAGAGCAGGGCTGAGTGGCTGCTGGCGATCCAGATGTGTCTGGGCTCATGTGAGTCTGTGAACAGCAGCGTGTCACATCCCATGCTGTTTGGGGAAGGGGGCAGGACTTCACTGCAGGATCTGAGCAGTGTCTTTGTGAGTTATATAGCAAATGCAATGCTGATTTCCAGCCCTCTCTCTGTAAGATGCCTAGAAAGTACTGAGACAGCGAAGGTGGTAATAATGTAGTTTTCTGTGGGGTGGATCTGAGGACAAAGAGGAAGGATGCTCTCTTCTCTTTGAAAATATAACATGACCTGTAGAGATACATGAGAAGGGTCATGTGGGTGGAAATGGACATCACTGGTCATAAGCACTGGCTTGGCTTTGATTTTTGTTTCCCTACCAGTAAGAGTGGAGGAAGCTGTCCCTTTATTCCATAGTCCCTGGCCTCTTACTCTCCTGAGAACTTCAGCCCCTTGCAGAGACTCAGGCTGCAACCAGTGGGGATGTGGGATGTGGGCCCTGGGCAGTATGGGGAACAATCAGTCACACCTGTGTTCTAGCCAAAGGGCTCAAGGACTGGTATGGACAGAGAGGTTCCAACAGCACTAAGATGAGCCCTGAACCAGGTCCCAGTGAGTGGCCCACCCTAGGGCTCCTTCACTGGGCTGGCTTTGACCCCCCCCCCCACCTACCAGCTAGGCAGAGGAGTAACAGGCCATCCTTGCTAATGCTCTATTTTCTCTCTTTAGACACCATCTTGCAGAAGAAGAGAAGCCCCAGGTAAGGTTGATGCAGACTACTCAGTGTGTACCAACCCTCACCCCCAGCCTCTGGCTCCACCTCACCATAGAGGACTGAAATGCACCCTAGGGGTCCTGCCTGCTACTCTTCCTTTCTTGGACCAGTTGGGAATCATGAGGGTACCGTAGGGGCCAAAACTTTGCACAGCTTGGGTTAGATTCCTCCTCAACACCCTGCCCAGAACCATCCATGTGTGGTACTCAGAATAAAGCCATGACAGGTCCTCCATGACCAGAGTCTGTCCTGGGTTAAATTTAGCTGCTGACATCCAGCAGCTTTGCTTTCCTTCACAGAGTCCTTGTCTTCTTGGGTCAGCCCGCCCCAGGGCCTTCATACGCACTATTTTATAATAGAGATGCTCTTTGCTCAGATAACTGCAAGCCTCACACTTCATTTCCTTTACTATCTCTGTATCAGAGCTGTCATTTGATTTGAGATAGCTGGCTTTAGATGGGAGCACCCACTCTGGCCATCTCTTTCTTTTCCATGTGTGCATGTGAATGTGTTTGTGAGTGCCAGGCTTGCATACGTGCATGGGCACACCTGAAGTGTGTCTTCCTCATTTTCCGGCTTATTCTTTGAGACAAAGTCTCTTGCTGAGCCCAGAGCTTGCTGATTTTGTTAGGCTGGCTGGAAGCAAGGTGCAGGGAATCCCCCATGGCTCCCTCCACAGTGCTGGGTTATAAGCCTGTGCCCGGATTTTGCACGGGTGCTGGGGATTAAACTCAGCGTTTCATACTTGCTCCCAAGAATTTACTGACTGGGCCATCTCCCCAGCCCTGGCTTTATTTTTCTCTAGACCTCAATTCCACAGATGCATGACAAATCACATGTCATTAAATTCTGTGGCTTTTTTTGTTTGTTTGTTTGTTTGTTTCCCTTCCTAAGATGTAACCTCCTTGAGAGCGGGTCTTTCTTTTCATCTCTGCAGCCCCAGCAGGGTAGCCCAGTGCCAAGAAGGGAGTGTGAGCCTGTGTCTGTGATGAATGAATGAATGAATGAATGAATGAATGAATGGTCATGCAGCCATGAGACAAGTCAAGAACTGGTTGGCAAGATAGGGAAGACAAATTCCCTCTGACTAGGGGGATCGCAGGTGACAGCCATCTGGGAGCCGGTCTGGCCCTGTTTGGCAGTGTGGAGGGCTGCACACCCAGTGGGAAGTAGGTGGTGTCAGGGTATGGGTAGAAAACAAGCACAGGGGCCCTGGGAAAGGACACCAGTGCTCCATTGACCAGTGAGGGAGCCCTATGGTGAGAGCAGATGCTTTAGTCTTTTGTGTGGGTTGGGAAGACATTGAAGGGAGAAGAGTTTCAGCTCCCTGGGGCGTGAGTGACTCTGACCCCTGCCCTGGGACTTCCTGTCCAGCCCTGAGGACTGGGGCAGGGAGAAGGGAGGAGCTGGGATGGTCACCGGCATCCTCTTTGGGCTAGGAGGAGGGCCTGTGCAGATGGGAGCCCCTCTGGAAGTCCCCTCAGAGCTCCTGGGACATCTGCTGAACCACAGCCAAGAGGCTGCAGAAAGAAGACAAAAGTGGGAAAGTTCTGGATTCTTTGAGGTGTGGGAGCTATGTGAACTGCAATAGCTGTTCAGAAATGAACCTTCAAAAGCAGCAACCAAGGGCAGTGAGGGAAAGGGGAGGGGGAGGAGTGACCGCAGCACAGGGATGTGTCCAAGTTTTCCAAGTTATCACAAGATGAAGTCTGGGGATCCCAGGCAACTTGAGATCCCAGCAACTGAGCACAAGGAGCCAGGGCTCCCACACAGCCTGGCCTCACTGTCCGCTTTGCACCAGGCTTAGTTCTGAGGCCTCCTGTTCTGAGGCTGGTCCTCAGTGTCTTCCCTAACAGGGAGGATGGCTGGCATTGCCCTGGTGGCAGCCTCCCTCCTCTGCTTGCCATGGTGGGAGTGCAGGCACCATGTAGAGACCTTGTGCTCTGACAGCATTCCTTTAGGACTGTGGGAAGTTCTCGGGGATAATCCATTGACCAGAATAAAAGCAAAGCTGTGGTCATTTGCTCCATTAGTGTTGAGAGAACCGAGCTTTAACTGAAGGAGAGTCTGGTTTTTCCACAATCTTCGTTTTGACAGTGGCCAATCTGTTAGCCAATCCAGTTCATTTAACAAAAACAAAATCTAAAACACCACTCTGTGTTAGCAGACTTCCGTGTGCTTGACCATTTGTTTCTCATGCTGCTTTGTGGGGCTCTGGGAGTGGGAAAGGCTGCATATTGGGAGCGGTTGCTGAGAGGCAGGATCTTTAGGGTCTGGGTTTAGCCTGTACTTCTCAGTTTTAACTACACACTACAGCAGGATTCCCTAACTCACATCCCCTGGTCACCTGCATAGCTGATGGGCTGTACCTAGAATGGTAACTCAACATCTGCCTGGGATGGCCACTCTAGGTTTGAAATCATCTCCTGTCTTCTTTCTGGTGGAAAAAAAGAACTTGAAACCCACAGAAAAGGTGAAAACTTGCAAACAAAATATGTATGTTCTCTGCGCCCTTTTTTTTTTTTTTTTTTTCCTTTCTCAACACTGTTGTTCATTTTGAACTGCCTAAGGTAAAAATTGTGTAATGTCCTATTTTCTTTACTTTTGGGGTGGGGGTCAAGAATACCGGGGCAGGGGTGGCATTGTCTACCTTGCCCTGTCCAGCGCCAGGAGGTACATACCTAACCCTAGCCAGGCTCCCTGTTGGTTTTGCTTCTTTTGGTAGCTTGGCTAGGGAAGCTATTACTTGCTCGCAGCAATGTAGAGATTACACTGTTCTTTGTCAATAGCAAATACACTAATATGGGTATCTTAATCCTCACCCATTGATTTCACCTGAATTCATACGCCAGGTCTGAGTCAGCTGTGGCAATAGTTGCTTATAAAAATATTGAGTGTCCAATCCTGGTACATCTTCTGCATTTAACACCCGTTATTCTTTTGGTGTGGGGTGATTGGGATGAACTTTTTATAGTTCTCTCTTTCTTTCACTTTTTTATTTTTACTGATTATTGATATGCTAGACTTCAATGCTTTTTAATCTATCACTGTCATAATTCTTTGTTGCTCAAAGTACTCCAAGTTGAGTAAATGCAAGGCATTCCTTTTTAAACACCTTTTTATTTATTCCTCTTGTCTTTCATATCGTGCATCTCGATTCCATTTACCTCCCTGTCCCTTCTTACCCACCCTCTGCCTTTGCAACCTCCCCTCCCATAAAACAACACAAAATTTGAGAGAAAAGAAAAAAGAAGAAAAATTTCATTGTACATCCTTTAGTCCTTATTATATCTTTACTTGCAAGTGTTCCATGCAAAGAGTCATTGAGCTGGTTCAAGGCTACACTATTGATATTGGGCTCTCTCTCACTGGTTCTCATCTTGGATATCTTGTTTTTGTTGTGAAAATCCTGCAGCTTTGAATCTGTAGGCCTGACCCCTTCACTTGCTCCAGTAGATCATAGATAGGGTGGATGCTGGGGTGTGCCAACTCATAGCCCTGGTTCTGGAGCTGGGGGGTTGCAAGGGTTGGTCACCCTGCCAGCTAACCTGCAGGAGCGCTCTCACCAGAGCGAGCATCTCCAGTGTTGCCTCTGTACCCTGTGTAGCAAGGCAAGTTCTCCTGCTTTCAGGCCCTGGGGTCAGCTTATGCATACCTACAGCCCCAGGGCCAGTTCTACTGTGTTCCCCAGGAGAGGAACAGGGGCTACTCTTCTGAGTGCTGCAGCTGGTGAGGGACAGGGACAGATTTCTTGCTCTTATGACCTCGGGGACAGCTCCCCCAACTAACTGCCAAAGGCCAGGAAGGGCAGGAGAAAGGGGAAGTAAAAGTCGTTTCTTGATGACAAGTGGACCCCTGTGACAACATCCTGGCTGTTCTGGAGTACCTTCCAAATTAAACACACACAGATGTACACAAACAAACATATATACACATATACATAGCCACACACACACACACACACACACACACACACACACACACGTATATACACATGTAGACATACACAGACAAATAGCCACATACACACATGCATACACAGATACATGTATGTACACACACAAACACACAAACACACACACACACACACACACACACAATATCTCAGGTTCCCTTTCTTTGGGGTTCCTTCTGGTTTTGTGGGGGTTGATTTTTATAAATTAGATTTGGACAGACTGTCACACTCATGGCCACCAGCCAGGTCATTTTTCAGTGCATATATGTACAGTGTATATATGTAGAAGGCTAAGCCAGTCCTCTGAGGTCCTCCTAAGCTTCCCCATCTGCTTTTCCGCCTTGCTTCTCCTGACATGGAGACCCTGTTTGTCTAACATAGCAGGATTTTCACCCTTTTGCTCAAGTTCACTCACCACACACGATGCTTCCTGAATCACAGCAGTGTCCTGACCCAGCCTGCCCAGCAAGCGTGAAGACGTGTTTGCAGCACTTTATGTCTGTAGAGTTTTGCTTTTTATGTGTATATAGCTAATTTTCTCTGTGTGGTTAGTGCTACCAAGTTGATACAGAATTCGAGATACTGGTCTCAGGGCCTAGGGTAGTTTAGTGTTTTTTAAAACCCTTAATATTATTTTTGAACGTGTAAGACCGGAACAAAAGCCAAAGATGAGACTGTTCAAACACAGAGAGAATTGTTTCCCTCCAAACTATTAACTTATCTCTGCTTTGAGGTCAGCATTTCAGTGGCTCCTGGCTGACTAAAGCCCCGCCCTGGACCCTTTCACAAGAATGTGTTGAATTTTCAACATTTACACATAATCAGTTTTAATTTTATATCTATCCATGACACTTTAATGATATTTACATATAATGATAAGTTTTTATGTCTACTCAGATATATTTGGGCTATTTTAAGAGTATTTTTATTTGGAATTGTAGGCATTCATTCAGGTGTGTGAGGTGAGCTGTTGATACATTTGGTCTTTTACACATTGGTGGGTGTATATAGTGGTGTGTAGTGGTGCATGCTGGCAGGATTGCCAGGTCAGCCTGAACTAGATAGTGAGTCCCTGTCTCAGAACAAACACATGGAGCTGCAGAGATGGTGCAGCAGAGACGGTGCAGCAGTTAGGTGCTTGCTGCCCTTCCAGAGGACCCGGGTCCAGTTGCCAGCACCCATGTCCTGTGGGCCACAGCTGCCAGGGACTTTGAGCTCCAAGGTGACTGATGTACTTTTCTGACCTTCAAAGGCACACAGGTATACACACTCTATACACGCCCACTTACAAAATAAATAAATCTTAAAAGCAAACCCGAGCTGGGTGGTGGCCGTGCACGCCTTTATTCCCAGCACTCGGGAGGCAGAGGCAGGTGGATCTCTGTGAGTTCCAAGCCAGCTTGGTCTATAAGAGCTCCAGGACAGCTTCCAAAGCCACAGAGAGACCCTGTCTAGAAAGGACCAGGAAAAAAAAAAAAAAAAAAAAAAAAAAAAAAAGAAGGAAGGAAGGAGGAAGGAGGAAGGAAGGTAGGAAGTAGGAAGGAAGAAAGAAAACCAGAAGACAAACAGTGCCCTCTGATTTTCCATTCTCTGATTTGCTCTCGGTTCCCACGAATGTGGGGGTGTTTCTGGACTTGGCCACCTGTGGTCAGTAGTGGGCAGGTACCCACTGTGACTGGTAGGGATTCCTGGTGTGCTTTGCCATCTGATAGGCTGGCTCCTCCCACCCCCAGCAAACTCACACTGCTCTTGTTCCTCAGGGAAATGTTTGCTAATTTAGTTCTGGTAGCTTTAAGTACGACTTTCCAGTCAACTTCAGAACTTTGCTATAAAAACAAATGTTTTGGTATTTCATTGGGGACATATTATTTTTACATATTAGGTTGGAGCCGATTAATTTCATTGTGACATTAACCAATCCATGGGAAAATCTATTTTATTTTTGATTAGCAAATGTGTTAATCACACATAATAGTGGGGTTTAGTATGTTGTCTCAATACATGCATCCAGCATTTAAATCCAGCCTCTCTTTATCCGGACTTCTAGTGCTCAGTAGTCTATGTTCAGGTTAACTTTTTCTTAACATCCACCTGGGATAGCTTTCTGTGTCTAGCCCACTTCACTTAATACATTGTCCTCTAGCTCTATCAATTTCTACACACCACAAACTCTTTGTTCTTTATGGCTGTATTCTGTGTGAATATATATACCATAGTTTTGTTAGAAAGACACTTAACATGCCTGTTCTCATGTGTTTCAGTGAAAGCTCTTGGGTTTTATTCTTACCTTTCATGTAAATTTAACCCTTAGTATTGTGAATATCTTGTGTGTTTATGGCCTTTCCCCTTACTTCTCTGGCCTGGCCAATGAGTATATTGTACTGGATGCCCTCGTGGATACTTGTGTCATTTGGCTTTTCCCCCCTTTGGTTCCTTTCAGTTTTCATGGCACCCCGCACATCTGCCCAAACGCATCCCTTCTTTCCAAGTTCTTATGACTTAATTGTTCTCTTCTCCAATACAGCTTAAATTGCCACTGTTATGTGATATGAGACACAGAATACCACATGCCTTGTGCCTGATCTTTGTGGGAAACCCACTCAGCATCCACTGACCAGTGGGCTGTCAGGGAAGTACTTTACCCATGGCATTTCATAGGCTACCTCCTCATCAGTCAGGCATTTCTGACAAAACCCAAGACCCATGCCTATTTTCAAAACTCAATAATAAATGCTCCCTGGCTCACCAGACACAGAAACACATACTGATTTTATTATCTATTTGGTTTTCCTTTTCTTATTGACCTGCACACGATTTTTTGGAGAACATGGTAAAATATTTTAGCTTAACAGTCACTCTAATTGTATTGTGTCCAAAATGTTTTGTTTTTCATGCCTTCTCTTCATGCTAGACTTCATGGGAAGTCTAATTCCAATACTCAACCAACCAGCTTATGTTGTCCCCTCCTCTGCCTAGCTTGCCTTTTAGTGCAGGTTGTTTGTGTCTGGCTGCCAGGAGGAGGCTGTGACACCCATACATTCATAGAGTCATGACTCCTATGAGAGAATGACTTGGTTCAGGAGCTAATTCCCTAGCTCGGGGCTGCCATGACAAGGAAGCTGTTCTCCTTGTCTGCGTGGGTCATCAGTATCTTAAGCACTCATGATGAGTAGGCCCAGACACTTAACATCCTCTCCTCAACTCTGAATGGGATTTTTAACTTGGGCTGATTAAAATAAACAGAAATCTGCTCAGCCTCTGCCTATCTCAACCAGCCCTCACAAACTCCATGTTCTTTTTTACTATTATCCTTTTTGGGGAGACACACTAGTATTTGACAGCACTGGGTGCCTTCTCTTAGATTTCTTTCTTTAATTGTCTTCTCTTTTTTCATCAGATCTTTTTCTTTAAATGTTTTTATTAACATATATTAATTTAACAAAGTAATGGGTTTCTTCCTGACATTTCCAGGAATGTACATAGGGTACCTTGGTCAGACACACCCCTGCCCTAGATTATTTTCTATCACTGTGGATAAGATCACAACTAAAGGCAGCATGGGATGGAAAGGGTTCATTTCATCTTACAGCTTGTAGTGCATCACAGAGGGATGTTGGGGTAGGAGCTGGGGCAGGAGCCTGGAGGCAAGACCTGAATCAGAAGACTGGCTTGCTCTCCAGGTTCATCCCACAACCAGTTGCAGAGGGATGGAACTTCCCACATCGAGAAAATGCCCCGCAGACTCGCCTACAGGATGGAGGTATTTTCTCATCTGAGGCTCCATCTTCCCAGATGACCCTTGTTTCTGTCAGGTTGACAAGAAACTAAGTGGTGCACCCCCATTACTCTGTTGTCTGTCACCATGCCATCCTAGCTTGCTCATCGTCGTTGTTGGTTCACCTGCCAGTAAACTCCATCAGCCTGAGCCTCATGTGTGTCCTTAGCCCTCAGACTCAGGCTAGGCGAAGATGGGCTGTCTCTTATGGTGGTTGACTTGACTTGCCCCCCCCCCCCGCATGCTCCATTCTGCTGTCTTCCTGCCATGGCTCCTCCTATGCCTATGCTGAGATGTCAGACACCAAGAGATTGGTGCTGATCAGGCCCAGTGGATAGCATTTCCAATTAGGGAACAGTAAGTAAAGCATGAATGTGGCATTCTGTTGTCACTATAGGTGATTCTTATGAGAGACTATGGTGTCGGTGTGAATTCCATCTCCTTCATGGAGATGTTGGCAACCTCCATGAAGATGTCCTATAGGCCAGAGCTGTGTATCCCAACCTCCAGCTCTAGGTGTTTGTACCAGAGCCTGGTTTGGTGAGTTCATCTTTTCTGCTGTTTTCCTCTTTTGAAAAAAAGTTCATGGACAGTGCCTTCTCTCCTGTCTCAGTTGGCACAGAAGCTAACAACTTATCATTCAGAGCTGAGAGCATCACCTTTCATTGCATTTCCATAGACTTCTCTACCTTGTTCCTCTTAGCCTCAGCCCAGATCTGAACATGTTTTTCACACAGGGACAGTGACACTTCCCTAAATAGTCTGATTAACCCTGAGGAATGAGTCCCGGACACTACTGTATTGATGTGGGTGAAATTTTGTGGCCTTGGGTTCGGCAGGCAGAAACAACCTCATGGCTGATATCCGGCTTCAGTACTGCCTGCAGGCATCTTTCTGTGTCATTTGAAGAGAGCCTGCTTGGTACTGACATCTGCTGGTGAGCTCCTCGCACATACTCACTGTGCTGCCAACACACAAAGCCAACCATAAGGACACAATCACTCTAAAAGTGAAGCCTCTAATGTTTCTTTTCCTTTCTAGAGATGCCCAGGCGATTGAGCTGTGAGCGGCCAGCTACACTGGCAGAGGCTTTAAGTGTTTTGGGTTTGAACACCCAAGGCTGATGATGATGGATCGTTACATCGCCTTAGCACAGCAGCAGGTACTAAAAGGACTACAATTAGCAGCACCTCAGTCCTGAGGGAAGATGCCACGTCTGTTCTGTAAGAGTATCTGCACAGGGGAAGTCCATGACTCAGCAGCAGGGAAAGAAGAAACCCCAAAGCCATATTTCCCAGCCTACATGCCCATGTAAGAGCTGTGCAAGCTTCTACAATAGCATTGTGTCCCTATCAGTGGAACCCCAACATAGCTCATGAAAACAGGAACAAAGGCAAGACAGCTTCCTCAGCACCGCAGGCTTTAACCACCTAGACTCAGGCAGTCTTAGCTGCCAGGAAATTCACATTTTAAAAATGAACCATGCAAGCATCCAGGGGATTGTGGAGCTGATGAGCCAATGGAAGACAGACATGGTAAGGGAGGAGAGGACAGTCCAGGCCAGGGTGAGAGGAAGGGCATCGACAGCCAGGCCTGGGAAGGGCCTTGGAGCTGCAGCTCTTCACACGAAGGGGGCGGGAGTCAAGAGCAAGCTGGAACGGTGCCCCACAGAAAGCTACAAGAATGCAGGCTGGCATTGTTACCCTCATATAATGGTTTTGTGGTGACTGTTGCAGTATACACAGTGCTTGCATGAAAGGCCTTGGGAAACCCATCCATGTCTTGCTACTCTTGTCATAAATACAAGATTCGGGACATAGGCTCTGTCAACATTTCTGTCTTGGAAGACCTTGCCTTTCCATTCTTCCAGAAGACAGGTGGCGGTGTGGGCTGGGTCTGCTCAGACGTGGTTATCTTCAGCACATTCTGATGAAAGAGCAGCTTTTTTTTTTTTTTTCAAAACAAAGTGCTGCATTATAATAACGTCTGGAATCCCAGGGTGTCTTTTGTCTGACTTGATAATAGTGCTACTCATTAGCAGCTTTTGCTAACTGATCACCTAAAGCAGTTACATGATACTCATAAGCAATCTTCTGTGTGTGAGATAGAATAAATCATCGTGTACTGGAGCTGGTAATTGATTTGTTTCTTTTAGCAGCATTTTAATTAAAACATCTGGTTTGTGAACGGCAGAATCACTGGTGAGCGAAGGTGAACGGCTTTGGATTCTCAGTCCTTGTCTTATGTCCTCTCCACCACTGCACCTCGTGACGTAGTTTCCAGACACGAGTTTGGTTTTTCTCCTTGCCCTGAACAAAGTTTAACAAAGGGCAGCACAGTCATGTGACACTTGCTGGTGGGAAAACTCCGAGGAAGGCATCACTCCATGCTTCCAACCTTGGATAGGGACCAAACAGCATGCTTTACGTACGGCAAATCAAGATGGCTGTAAGGTCACTAGATGATGCAGTCTTATGGTATGCTGTCATACATGCAGTGCATTTTTGACTGAAATGCCATTGCACTGTTCTTGACTGACCAGCATCCTCTCCCCAGATGACAAAGGACTAATATCATTGATGGGTGGGTGGGGGAGAGGTCATTGACAATGATACCTCCCTGGCTCTCTCCCCAAACCACAATTCAAGTTCTTGTAGCTTTAATAGGAAACTCCCAGGCCCTTCTTCAGAGCATCCCCCAGAGATGAGGCTGTAGAAGACAATGCCTTTTGACAGAGCCCCTTTTGAGGAGTGGCTTCCAGGGAGGACTGTACCTCTTGGAGATACTTGGGCCAACTACAGTGAGTCACTGTGTGGATGCAGTGTCCTGGGGATAGGACCTGCCTCACCCTTTCTTTTGGGAACACTGTAGCAGAGTCTATGGGTGAGGTAAACCTTAGTTTGCTGGCCTAGGACACCGTGGAGACTGCAAAGCACTCACAGTCCCCTTGAGAGCTCTCCACAGCAGGGAGAACACCATGCTTAAAGATCAGGGACAAGTGACTCTGAGTCTAGCTGTGGTGTAGAACCCATAGGACTCAGTACCTGAAGGAGGAGAAGGGAGGGTGAAAGAAGTCAGAAAATTAAAAATTATCGATGGATGTGTCAATCTACTTAGAAGTTAAAAATATTGACATTTAATTTCTAAATAAACCCAATACATAAAAAGAAATGTATGCATATATGTACGCTTTCTACTGTGTATTAAAAGTACATATAGGCAATTCTAGGTTATGTGCGTGGATTCGTAGGTGATGCTGTAGATCCCCTTGTATCATCAAAGGCTAAAACCAGCTATATATAGCTACATATAGTTGATTTCCAAACAAGTCAGTATCCTTCTGTATGTTTGCCCCAGCCCAAGTGGAAGGATAATATAGTTGGGACTAGAATAAGGCAGCAATGATGGTGAGCATGGATAGGTTGGGGGAGAATGGAAGGGAGAAGAGAAGAGGAAAAGAGCCCTACTCCCAGGGTCAGCAGCCCCTGGCTTAGGCTAGACCCTGCCTAGCCAGGAAAGGTCTGAAGCTGAGTCCTAGATTTTTAAACCGATGCTTGGGAGCTGGCTTGGGCTGGCTGCATTTGGACAAAGTGAACCTCACATTTCCCACAGGGTTTTTGGAGGTTGTGCCTGAGAATCAGGGTTCAAAGCAAGTGTGGAGTTTTATTCTGGATTGTGCTTAGAGATCCCTGAGAAGGTCCAGCAGGATGGGGAGAGGGGAGAGCAGACTGGAGGAGATGAAGAAGCCAGGTAGGATTGCTTAGACAGAGGGATGCTGAGGCCAGCGGAGCCACCACATAAACACAAAGAAGGGGCTGGTGAGGGCAAGTCTGAGTGAGGGGCGTCCTGGGCTGCTCAGAGTGCAGCCTGGAAACTGATTCTTTTCCTCCTGAGTTGTTTGTCACAATCTCAGACTTGTCATACTAGTTAACCAACCTTCAAAAATGGGCCTTTTCAGAAGTGTATTACTGTCAGATGACAAGTAAATGGCACAACCCCAGCCTGTGAAAGCAGAGTGCAGGATTGTCACCAAGGTGTCAATCACCCAGTCTCCCTGGTCAGTGTATCTTAGTTCAAGTGCTCATGGTCCTGAGTTTCAGCCAACGCCCTGCCCCCTCCCCATTTGTGGTTGCCATTGCAGGCCTGTGGAGTACAGGATGGGTTTGTGGTATGAGGGCTCTGCAATCAAATGCTGCTTTGCAAGCAAGACAAATCAACAGTTACTTTCCTCATCTGTACAATGGGCTGAGAGTTATGCAGTCTGTACTATCTGAGTTAACAAAATAAAATTGTACATATAAAGCTTTTAGCCTACTGACAGTCAGGTGACCCTCAGTCAACATGAGCTATCACTTACCATCAATTTGGGTCAGTTTCTACCAAATCCCCAAATTCAAAAAAAAAAAAAAAAAATCAAAACTAAGGAAGTTTCGAAGGGTACTTTTCACAGTGTGGGTGAGTTCTGGGAATCTAACTCAGTTATCCGGGTTGGCAGTAGGCACCTTTATCTTCTGAGATGTCTTACCTTTTATGGCCCTAATATAAACTTCTTTAAAGCTAAGTTGGCAACAACCTAGAGTGGAATGTCTAAGTGTTTATTGATCTTTATTATTTCTGAAATATATAAAATTAAACAAAAGTTAACAAACCTATATTTTACTAGATAGATTCAGCAAAAGGAAATATTTTATTGTTTAAAAAAAGATAAACAGGGACTGGGAGGGCACCATAAATAATACACTCTCCCCCCCCACACACACACACGATAAAGTAGGACATGAACACCCGTATGGGCAAGGGGGTGCTCTCCTTAAGCAGTAAAGGCCAGAATGCACTTCACAGAGCAGCAGAGGTCAGGGGGAGCTCAGGGCCTCCGCTGAGTAAGGGAATGCTATCCTCTCACCAAGGAAAGACTGCTTCTTCATGTCATCTGTGGGCAGCAGGGGCTGGATAGACACCTGGGAAGATGGACCAGAGCTGCTCCTGGTTTGTCTCTACAAAAAGAGACTCATTGGGAAGCATTTATATTGCAATCTTTACAATGTAGCTTCTATTTTTCCTGTATTGTGTTTACATCAAGAGATGGAAGCAACTTGTGAGTCTATCGCAGAGGCTCAACAACAAGAAAAGAGTGAAACCATGGCTGCGAGGCACCCAGTGCTTCCTGACAGGTGTTCCTGACAGCCACAGGTTCTGTGCCTGTGGCCAGCAAGCTCTTCCCAAGGGGTGATGCTCCAAGGACTCCCTCAGGATGCGCCTCCTCTGCCTGGTACAACATGCCCTTCTTACCTCCATTAGCTTTGAAAGCCAAGCCATCACCTGCTCCTGTGTCTCCTATCAGGAGTTAAACGGAGTCCACACCACAAGTGAGTATGTGGGTCTCATGGTCCTCCAAAGGCCCTCATATTACATGTGTGCTCACCAGCTTGATGGGAATCTTTAAGAGTTAGAAAAGAGAAAGCAGTCCCCCCTTATCAATGAAGGGGTGCTGTTGAAGGAGTAAGGGGACTCTGGATCTTGAAGAGCAGAGTTCAAGCCCCAGTCAATCTTGGTTTGGCAGGTTTGGTGGCATACAGCCTTGTCACCCTTGTGCTGGGGTGGACACAGGAGGGTTGCTGGGGTTCTTTGGCTGCCAGCCTAGCTCCAGTTGGGTAAAAACCAAATCTCAGGGTAATAGGACACATTATGTCCTCTTGTGGCCTCTGCACAGACATATGCATGTTTATCACATGAACACACACTGACACACAGAATACAACCCTTATGAGAGCTGCAGAGGGCAGGAGGTTGTGATGTCACCCTACTCTTCTCACTGGCAAGGGCTAATGAAGACAGAAGAGCAATGTATTCAAAAAATTTAAGCACCAGAGTATCCCACACTGAAACAGCAAACTACCACTAAATGAGAAGGCGGAGTCAGATGAGCAACAGGACTTTGCGCTAGGATGGGGTGAGAGTAGGAGGCCAGTATCCTTCACACTCATTGATAAGCACCTAGAAAGGGCAACACCAAGTCATTCATCGAGGTTCCTATGATCGCAGCGTGGGAGCTGGCACTCGGCCAACAGGGAGAAGCTGAAGAGCTGTTGTCAGGAGCAGAAGGTTGCAGGGTGGCAGGGTGCGCCTTGGAGGACTGATTCCTGCTCAGTGGACTGACAGCAAGGTGCAGTTCTGATTGTGTGTGGTGCTGACTGAAGGTGCTAAAAACGAAAAGAAAGTGCACAGGATGCTTACAGACAGCTACAGTCCGGGAAGAGGGGTTACGGGAGGGAAAGGGGGAGGAGCAAACGCAATGAATTTTGTCATCAAAAGCAAGTGGAAGCAGACACAGTGGCGCATGTCTGCAGTGCTGGAACCCAGGAGGTGGAGGCAGGAGCTTCGGAGGTCAGGGACACCCTCAGCTACTCGGTGACTTGAAAGTCAGCTTGCGCTATGGAAAATCTTGTCTCACAAATTAAAATGAACTGAGAAATTAGGTGTAAATTGGTTAAATTTATGAAATTCATCTACAAAAACATTTACTTTTTATGATAATATTTTTTAATGAAATTTGAAACAAGCTTGTTTTACATGTCAATCCCAGTTCCCTCACCCTCTCCTCCTCCCCTGTCTGCCCCTAACCCTCATCCCATACCCTTTCTGCTCCATAGGGAGGGTGAGGCTGTCCATGGGGAGTCTTCAAAGTCTGTCATATCATTTGCAGCAGGGCCTAGGCCCTCCCCGATGTGTCTAGGCTTAGAGAGTATCCCTCTATGTGGAATGGGCTCAAAAAGTCCATTGGTATACTAGGGATAAATACCCTAGTATTTATCCACTACCAGAGGCCCCATAGACTGTCCTGTCCTCCCAACTAACACCCATGTTCAGGGAGTCTGGGTCTGTCCTATGCAGATTTCCCAGCTGCCAGACTGGTGTCCATGAACTCCCTCTTGTTCAAGTCAGCAGTTTCTGTGTGTTTCTCCAGCCTGGTCTTGACCCCTTTGCTCATCATTCCTCCCTCTCTGCAACTGGATTCCAGGAGTTCAGCTCAGTGTTTAGCTGTGGGTGTCTGCTTCTGCTTCCATCAGCTACTGGATGAAGGCTCTAGGATGGCATATAAGGCATTATATGCCATCCAAAAACATTTACT